TGCCGCAGGCAGAGGATTAACCAAGTGAGCCACAGCGCCGGCCCCTCATCCTTTTCCCTTTTAGAGAAGAGGACAGCGAATCTCAGTGGGGCTAAGTGACTTGCCTGAGATTTCCCTGAGTAGTGACTTTATTGGAGAGACAAAGTGACATGTCTAAGCATGTCACATCTCATTCCCAGATTTGCGATCCTAAGCTTTTTATCCTCAACAGCAGCAACTCCCTGGAAACATGACTTTTAGCATCAACAGCAAGAAAAATTTTAACAAAATTCTATTACAAAAGTAATAATAACTTGCAGGTCTTTAGGAATTGGTCTAAAATAATGTTATATGAGGAATATTTTGTAATGGTCTGAAGCTACCATCAGAGCCAATGAGTTGACTAGCTATGCATGCAAACAGCATCAGGCAAAACAAACATCCAAGTGTTCAACTGGTAAAAGGTAGCTCTTTTAGAAGTCATAGAGAGGGGCAAGAGCCATGGCTCACTTGGTTAATCCTCCGCCTGCGGCACTGGCATCCCATATGGGTGCCGGGTTCTAGTCCTGGTTGCTCCTCTTCCAGTCCAGCTCTCTGCTGTGGCCCAGAAAGGCAGTGGAGGATGGCCCAAGTGCTTGGGCTCCTGTACCCCCATGGGAGACCAGGAGGAAGCACCCGCCTCCTGGCTTCGGATAGGTGTAGACTCCGGCCATAGCGGCCATTTAGGGTGTGAACCAACAGAAGGAAGACCTTTCTCTCTCTCTTTCTCTCTCTCTCTCACTGTCTAATTCTATCTGTCAAATAAAAAAAAAAAAAGAAGTCATAGAGAACAGATTGATAACATGCAGTTGATGTTCTTTAAGGAAATGCTTTAAATTGATCAGCAAAACAATTTTTTTTTTTCATTTGGGAAATGAACACACATTGCTCTGACAGACTGTTGTGGAGTGAATCAACGCAAAACTGTCACCAAGACCCTGTCAAAGGGGAGCCATCAGGAGACCCTCCATGGAGTTCATGATACTCCATGTCTCAGGACCCAGGAGTCTTCTGCTAGGGGAGAGTCTGAGAACTCATTTCACACATTCAGAAGCTGTAGTCATCAAACTGAGCCCATCAAAACCCCATGCCACTGAGCTCATAGCCCCAGATGACAGCAAATTCATAGTGATGTCTCCCCCACTATGTTCTCTATTGGCTGAACATCATTCTCATTATGAACACATGTAAATCAACTCGGGCTGTCATAAAAAAAGAAGCATACACTTGGTGGCTTAGATAATAGAAATGTATTCCTCAGTTCTGGAGACTGAGGAGATCAAGAGTGAAATTCTGGGTGACTCTGTTCCTGATGAGGGCTCTGTTTGTTGCATATGGCTGTCTTCTCATCGTATCCTCACCTGACTTCTTTTTCTTACAAAATTTCATTTATTTATTTGAGTGGCAGTACAGACAGACAGAGAGCCCCCATGCCCTGGTTCCGTTCACCAAATAGTCACAATGGCCAGGGCCAGGTAGACTGAAAGCCAAGAGCCAGGAACTCAGTCTGGGTTCTCTATAAGTGGCAGAGACCCAGCATCTTGAGCTATCCCAGAGTATGCATTAGCAGGAAGCTGGCATCCAGGGAGGGCAGAGTCAGGACTCAAATTCAGGCTCTCTGATTTGAGATGTGGGATTCCCAACAATGTCAACTGCTAGGCCAGACACCCACCCTTTGTGATCTTTTCTCCGAATGTGTATGTCAGAGGGTTGAGGAGTGGGGGCAGGAGGTTACAGAGAAAGGGAGAGGCAGAGAGAGAAAGCACATTCTATGGTATCTCTTCTCATGAAGGCATTAATCCTATCAGACTGTGACTGCACTGTCATGATCTCATCTAACCTTAATTACCTCCCAGATGTCCTGTCTCCAAATATCATCAGGGATCAGGGCTTCAGTAAATGAATGGTGAGAGAAGCACAGAACAGGTATCTTTTGCCAATTATCTTCAATATCCCCTTAGTGATATAAAACAGAAACTCTACAGGGTGGGCATTTGTCCTAGAGGTTAAGATGCCCACTTCCTGTATCAGAGTGCTAGGGTTCGATTCCAAATGTTGCTCCAGATTCCGGCTTCCTGCCCGTGTAGACCCTAGGAGGCAGCAGGCTCAAGTAGTTGAGTCGCTGGCATCCATGAAAGAGCTTGGATTGAGTTTCCTGCTCCTGGCTCCAGCCATAGGCTTAGCCCCAACAGTCGCAGATGGGCCTTTAGAGAGTGAAGTGGTGGGTGGGCATGCTCTCTCTCCCCAGTATATTTTTTCTTTAAAGAGAAGCATTAAAGGGGCTGGTGCTGTGGCATAGTGGGTAAAGCTGCCACCTGCAGTACCAGCATCCCATATGGGTGCCGGTTCGAGTCCCAGCTGATCCACTTCCAATCCAACTCTCTGCTATGGCCTGGGAAAGCAGTGGAAGATGGCCCAAGTCTTGGGTCTCAGCACCCATGTGGGAGACCTGGAGAAGCTCCTGGCTCCTGACTTTGGATCAGCGCAGCTCCAGCCATTGCAGCCAATTGGGGGTTGAACCAACGGATGAAAGACCTCTCTCTCTTCCTCTCTCTCTTTGTGTAACTCGGACTTTCAAATAAAATAATCTTTAATAAAAAAAAAAAGGAGATGCACTAAAGACATTGAGGGAAAGTAAGATGAAAAACTCTGGAACGTTTGCAATAATCACCTGAAAGTATCTAGAAAAAAAATCCAGTTTTCAACATCCATGATTAATAATAAGCATTACACTGTTCTAAACACTTTATGTAAATCACTCATTGAATCTTCACAAAAAGTTAAGCACACAAGTACAGATTCACTTTGCGGGTATACAATGGTCTGAAGTGTCCTAAATTTAGTGCCAAGGGCATGAGGATGCAGGAGGGAAAGATAAAGGAAGTTAACCAATTAACAGCTGCAGGTGAAAACAACAACAGAAGTCCCTGGATGTATGTTGAAACCTTGATGTATCTTGCATCCAGGTCAACCAAGAGTGCCCCTGTGCCCAGTTCCAGCCTGTACCCTCAAGCAGTGCAGAAGTAACAGTCAGATCTCCTTCTCAAGGGCCCTCCTATCTCAAAGCAGGCTCCATGTTCTCCCACCCCTCTTATCTATAGCTAGTAGAGGTTCGGTGTAAGCAATGCTTTCCTTACCCAAATTTTATAAAAATACTCTTAGCTCTAGGTTCTTTGGACATTTTTCCAACTGCTGTTTAGGCTTGCTGCTGCTAAGTTGTAGAAATTTGCCCCAGGACCTGCTCCTTTTCCTGGCTAGCTTAATAAACCCTTTTATTTCAGAAATCCCTTGGTCTCAACAGTTTTGGTTAAACAGTAGCATTGCGTAAATAGAGAAGGAAAAATTGGAGACTCTATTTACTGGGGCTCTGCCCCTATCGCCTTGGGTCCTCTGATTTATGTTCTATGCTTCTCTTTCTCTATTCAGTCAGATTGCAATTTTTATTGCATGTTGTGTCTTCCTCCATAACTTGCTGTATGGTAGTCCGATAATTATGAAACTCATTTTTGATACAGGGAATCTGAACAGGTTAATTCAGCCAAATGCTCAAGGCAAGGTCAAGCAGAAAAAGATGTCATATGGATGCCATTTAAAAGTGTTGCACAAAAATTCTGTTACTCCTCAATAGCTTAGCATAAACATTTTTGCAATCTAAACGTGGATCCTTTAAAGAGGGTGGATTATCTAAATTTTCAAAGTCTGATAGGTGCTCGAGTTTATCTAAGAAACTATTTTGTAAGCCATGTTTCCTCCTTTGTTTTCGTATTTGCTGCGGCTTCAAGGCGCCACAGGATAATAAATATCATAGCACAGCTTTTCTGTTTATGGCTGTTTTTCATATCTGGAAACTGGAAACCAATCATATTCCTGGTTCACACATTATGGCTGCTTCACTCAGTGTGGGACATCAGAGATAAAATGGAGAGCGTGAAAAGCAGGTGTTTATTTCACAACAGAATCCTAGAAAGTCAAAGCTAGAAAGGTGCTTGGGGATCACCGAGTCCAACTTCCTCCTTTATCTCTTAAGAAACCTGAAGTTCAAAGAAATGTTGAGACTTGTCCTTTGTTCCCAAACTATGTACTTGGTAAAAGGTCTGCTTTAAAATATTTTGTCTCAAAGAAGGTCTCATTCTTCAAACTTGCTGATCACTGGCAGTCGAAGAGGTTGCCTCACAGCATCTTACTAGACCTGACAGGTATCATGCACCTGAGAATGCTGGAGCTAAAAATCAAATCATTACCCCAGTTCTCAGTTCTGGGTTGGCAGGAGTGGGGGCTTAAGGAGTAGTCTCCAGTGGTGGGGATTCTGAGTGGTGTGTGGAAAAGAACAGCCATGCGCGTGCTGTGTGACTGAAGCAGCAGACTTGCGTGTCTACCGTGGAGCCTGCTAGCACTGCAGTGGAGCAGAAGGAACTGCTCCCCGCCCCTGCTGCCGCGCCACCACACCTGGCCAGGCCCACTCAGCCCCTCTTAGGGGCTTCCCTGCTGGCATCTTGCTCCCTGTCACCTGGTGCCCTGCTTAGCCATTGAGTGGTAGTGCTGAGGGCAGGAGAACTGGGCTCCCTCTCCCACCAAGAAAGCAAATGGGAGGCAGAGAGGAAAAGTATATCCAAATAATCAGAAGTTACGTGGAATTTGTTCTTTGGAGGCCCATGGAAGTACTGGGGCTGTTTCAGTATTTCAAAAAGGCACGTTGATCCACAACACTACTCAGACTATCACATCTGAGGCTTATCAGGAGCTCTGAACAGCAGCTAAAAATAGCTGAGATTACTAAAAATGAAGTTATCGTTACCTAACACATGAATGCCAGGCCCCTTGAGGGACCAGATCAAATGAGAAAAGGGATGATTGAGGGTATTCACACAAAAAAGGTTTGCAAGTACCGATTTTAAACCAAAGGATGCATTTTAAAATGATCCAAGAGAACCACCCGCCCCCTCCCCATGCCAGCTCTCCCTGGTTCCATGACAATAACTCACTGGACAGGGCAGGGAGGCTTTCCTGTCACTGGCGTCCCGTGGCCGGCGCCGCTCCCGGACTGCTCTCTCCTCCTCCTCTCTCCAGCTGTGCCCCCAGAAGCTGCTCATCCATTTGGCAAAAGATACATCATCATCATCCTCGTCTTTGTGCTCCATGCAAAGGTGATGCAGAATCTTGAAGGCCTGTCCCTAAATCTGACAGAGGGAAATAGCACCCAACAGAGCTGGACTGGTGAAAGGCAGGAGCTCCCCCAAGACAAAATGAAACTGGTCTTTTTCAATGGTCTCTGATAATGGCATCCTTAAAGGAGAAAGATTTACTAAACAACCACTTCATCATCAGGCAGCCTTGGGCAATGTCTATTTATAAATTGTGCAGCCCACATTCCCCTCCCCCTTGTCTTTTTAAATTGAGAGGCTTTTTAATCCTGCCATGGCTGGGGCTTGTGCCTCACAGCCTAAGGGTAGGAAGCACAGTCCACTGCCTGGTTTTTCTCGGCGCTTTGCTGCCTATGGCATGTGCTGGCATCTCCAGCTGTCAATGATGATGGAGCATGACCCTCATAATATGCCTGTCAGTTCCAGGCTAGCTCTGAAACGGGGCCACGGACAAGGGACAGGCTGACTGCAGCCTGTGAGGTGGCTGGCCGTGGGCATGTGCTAGCTCGAGCTGGATGTTCTCTTAGTAAATCAAATGGATATTGATATAAAATCCAGCTCCTGGGTCAAAGGGAGCCGTTGTTTACTGAAACATTACTTATACATGCACAAATGTAAATAATGTATGTACACATGCAAAACAGACAGTTCCTGCAGGCACAGCCTGACGAACGTTTACCTAGTAGGTGGAGACACAGAACTTCTCTGGCACCAAACAGGTTTCCCCTATGCCCTTTCCAATTTGTACTCCCTTCAGAAGGTTACCGTGCCGACCTTTGTCTCCATAGATGAATTTTGCCTATTTTTGAACTTTCTTTCAATGGCATTACACTGGAAGATTATTTTGAATCAATCAACATTGTAACAGTGAGATTTAGTCATGTGTTTGTAAAAAACAGTATTTCGTGTATAGTATTGTATAGTAAGAATATACCACAATTTTAAAAATGTATTATCTTTTTTGGGGGGGGTTCTGTCTACTGCTTATCTGGGGCTGTCACTTGTGTTGTTTCAACTTGGGACCATTATAAAAAGCTTTTATGAAATTATTGTTCCTGTCTTTTAGTGGGCATTTTGTTCAAGGTAAGGAGAATATTGTATTTATGGAACCCTTGCTTTGCTGTCTGATATGGAGCTAACTATTTTACATACACTATTTTCATTACAACAACCCTGTGGCTAAGAGATCTGTATCACACTTTATAGATGAGGAAATTATTACTAAGCAGTACAGACAGACAAGACTGAAGCAAAGAATGGAAACACCAAGTTCAGGCTGTTTCCCCCATTCTGCCGTTGTGCCCAGAAACCTTTAAGAAATCTTAATTTTCAAACAGACAAGTGATTCTTGCTTATTTGCCATTTGAAAATCCTATGAACTACAAAAAGATAACATATGAGCAGTATACCAAGAACATGGTACCATGTGAGAAATGCATGCTTATTACTTTGTAATAGTTTTATTAACCAGCGGAGGAAGCTTGCTTCTCAATAACCCTGGAAAATATAAGACTGTGCCTCATCACTGTTGATTGTCTCTGTTATTAAAGAAAGAAATAGGGACTGACGCTGTGACATAGCAGGTAAAGCTATTAGGTAGGAAGTCAGACATGAGCTTATGTGTGCGTGACATAAAGGCCTAAAGAGCTGACATCTAGGTTCAGCATATACAGCTCAAAAGTCATCTCAATAACCTTATCTATGGAGTCAGTGAACTCAAAAGGCTTCCATAGCCTTGGCAACTCATAACAAGAGCCTAGGGAGATTACTGATGCCATAAACAAGAATGTCAATTTGTTAAGTCAACAACAGGAGTCACTGTGCACTTACTCCTCATGTAGGATCTCTGTCCTTAATGTGCTGTTCAATGTGAATTAATGTTATAACTAGTACTCAAACAGTATTTTATACTTTATGCTCTGTGTGGGTGCAAACTGTTGAAATCTTTACTTAATTTATACTAAATTGATCTTCTGTATATAAAGATAAATGAAAATGAATCTTGATGCAAATAGAATGGGAGAGGGAGCAGGAGATGGGAGGGCTGTGGGTGGGAGGGAAGTTCTGGGGGGGAAAAGCCATTGTAATCCATAAGCTGTACTTTGGAAATTTATATTTATTAAATAAAAGTTAAAAAAATAACCTTATCTACATCCTGCCCTGCCCCCTCCTACCCAATAACCTGCTAGGTGGGGGTCCCCGCCCTTCTGCCCGATAACCTTCGAGGTGCAGCCCAGTGTCTGCACTTCAATATCCTGCTCCTCCAGGGGACCCATCCTTCCTCTAACGTCCAAACAGTCCTTTGTTCCAAGAGGAGCAGAGGTGGGGAGGCAGGACCCATCTCCTTAAAAACCCCAGCCTCAACCAGACTGCGCGCTCAGCCCTCTGCCTCTCTGCTGAGCGGCCCGCCTGGCCTGGTCAGGTGTACTCCACTCAACCATGTAACCTCGCTCCTCCCCCAGTCCAAGTGACTGGGCACTCTCAGGTTCTGTCTGGAGAGGTGCCCATCCATTCTTACGGGTGTCCCTTCCCTAACAAACTTTGCTATTTTACTTTCCACTACTCTCTGTCTCATGCCTGAATTCTTTCTTGTGCGAAGACAAGAACCCTGCCATTCACCAGTAACAAAGCCTCTGCCTGCCAGCATCCCATTTGGGTGCCAGTTCGAGTTCCGGCTGCTCCACTTCCAATCAGCTCTGCTATAGCCTGGTAAAGCAGTAGATGGCCCAAGACCTTGGGCCCCTGTACCCGTGTGGGAGACCCGTAAGATCGGCATAGCTCTTGCCATTGCGGCCAACTGGGGAGTGAACCAGCGAATGGAAGACCTCTCTCTCTCTGCCTCTCCTTCTCTCTCTGTGTAACTTTGACTTTCAAATAAATAAATCTTTAAAAAAAAAAGAAAGAAAGAAATAGGATGTCTCAATAAAACATACTATGAAAAAAGTAAAAATAAGAATAAAACATACTATGGATAAATCTCTTCATTTCTTTTATTTATTTTATGTGAAAGGTAGAGAGAGTGACAGTAACACAAAGAGAACTTCTATCCACCTGCTTACTTCCCAAACGCCCTCCAACAATTGGTGCTGGGCCGGGCTCATGCCAGGAGCCAAAAACTCAGTCTGGGTAGCCCACGTGGGTGGCAGGAACCCAAATTCTTGGGTCATCACTTGATGTCTCCCAGGGCGTGCATTAGCAGAAAACGGCAATGAGAGAAGAGACTCGAACCTAGGCACACTGATATGGGTTGTGGGCACCACAAATGGCATGTTAACCACTGCACCTTTTTCAACAGTTAATTAAAGCATTGTCAAATGTTCGGAAAAAGGTAAGCTGGCAGGCATGAGGCTGTTCAGCTTCAGAAAGCCTTGTCTGCAAGGCTGGCCCTTGGCTGGCATCTGGGAACTTGGCTGGTAAGCATTTTTCCACAGTGATGTAAGACCTCCTCTAACTGATAAGAGTAGCTCACTATGCCTAAACTGGTACACACAGTATGGTTTATGCTGAACACCTGCTTTCTTTCTGGAAGCCTGGAATTTTGGTATGTGCTAGGCACGAGGTATCTCTTAGTTCTGGGTACTAAGCAAAATACCATAGACTGGGTGTCTTAATCAACAAATATGCACTTCTCAAGTTCTAGGGGCTGGAAAGTCCAAGATCAAGGCATGTGCAGAATCAGTGTCTGGGGAAGACTTGCTTCCTGGCTTGCACATAGCTGCCTTCTTGCAATAGTCTCACAGGGTCAAGCAAGTAGAGTGTCTACTCTACTGGGATTCTCCAGAGCAACAGAACCAATAGGGGCAGTGACAGAGAGGGAGGGGGAGGGGGAGGGGGAGGGGAGAAAAGAGAAAGTCTCTATGGGGTATTGACTTATGCGCTTAGGGAGTGTGAAAAGTCCCAAGATTTGCCATCTGCAAACTGAAGAACTAAGATAGCTAGTGACATAATTCAGTTTGATTCCAAAAGCCTAAGGAATCATGGGAACCAGTAGTGTTAATTCCCATTTGAGGACAGGAGATGAAATGAGATGTTCCAGTTCACGAAGTGAGGCAAAAAAAAAAGAAGAGCATTAAGTTCCTCCTTCTTCCACCTTTTGTTCTATTCCATTCAAGCCCTCAACAGATTGGATGATGTCCACTCACATAGGGACAGCAATCTGTGTTACTGAATCAATAAATTCAAACGCTGGGCTCATCAACACCTTCACAAACACATCCATAGTTTTTGTGTTTTTTGTTTGTTTGTTTGTTTGTTTTTTGAACACTTATTTATTTAGAGCCAGCATCCCTGTATGAGCGCCAAGTAGAGTCCTGGCTGCTCCACTTCTGATCCAGTTCTCTGCTATGGCCTGGGAATGCAGTAGAAGATGGCCCAAGTTCTTGGGTCCCTGCACCTGCGTGGGAGACCTGGAAGAACCTCCTGGCTCCTGCCTTCGGATTGGTCCAGCCGTTGTGGTCATTTGTGGAGTGAACCAGCAGATGGAAGACCTCTCTCTCTCTCTCTCTCTCTCTCTGCCTCTGCCTCTCTCTCTCTGCCTCTGCCTCTCTGTAACTCTGCCTCTCAGATATATAAATAATCTTTAAAAAAAAAAAAAACAAGTTTATTTATTTGAAAGGCACAGTTACAGAGAGAGGGAGAGACACTGAGAGATCTTCCAGCCTCTGGTTCAGTCCCCAGATGGCCACAATGGCTGGAGTTGGACCAGGCCAAAGCCAAGAGCCTGGAACTCCATCCAGGTTTCCCATGTGAGTGCAGGGGCCCAAGCAGCTGGGCCATTTTCCACTGCTTTCCCAGGTAGTTAGGAGGGAGCTGGATTGGAAGTAGAACAACCACTGCCCATATGGGATGCTGGCGCTATAAACAGTGGCTTAACTTGCTGGGCCACAGTGCTGGACCCATTCGCAAATGTTTAATTTGGGCATCCCATGGCCAGTCAGGTCGATACATAAAAGTAACCATCACAGGCACCTAATCTCATTCATGTTTTCTGTGGAAAGCTACCTCTCCATCCACTTCTGAATGATGGATGGAACTCTCAACCCTTTCTTAGGAATACCTCAACAACCATTAACCTGTGTTCAGCTTCCCAGATGATTTGAAATTTGCAACAATGGATCGATCGCCTGACCCTAGTTCACCCACCTCCGTCCTTTGTTAGGCAGTTCGATTATCAACTGCAGCTGTCCCAGACAGAGATTGATCTTTTCTAGGCTGCTTACAGAAAAAAAAATATATGTATCAATCAGGGCAAAAGGGGGAGGGTATGCTGTTATGTAAACACATTCTGAAAATTTTTGAAAATTCAGAACTTTGTCCTAGCCATTTACTGAACGTGATGTGTTTTGCTTTATACATATATACACATATATATACAGAAATTCTATGTTAATTATTTTGTCTCTCTTGCA